TCTCGTGGATACGAGCCCGGGTGGGAACGAAAATCAACGCTTACTCCAGCTCTATTTTCGTAATGTGTCGTCCTGGGATCACAATGAGGCCTATCAACCGGTGTGTCATGTCCAATTTGAAGGTCGCGCTCTTTGCTTCCGGCCCTTCTTCCAGCTCTTTCTCGTGTGCAGCGGCTTGTACGGCAGATGTGGAGGGCATACGATATTCAAAAGAATTGGCGAGGATGATGTTTCGGTCCTAGCAAGCAGTTTTCGATTAGTGCCATTCGCGGTGTGCTATTTCAAACCCTATAGCACGTAGGTTCATACGCGACTGCTTACTGCATCCGTACACTTGAAAAGCCCAAGAAACATCCGATTATCCGTGGTATGGATCCGCAGTGTGCGACCCAACAGCCCCTCCAAATATTTAACAGACTGATCGTGATCCATTGTGGTTGGTGCGTTGTTCGTGTCAGCAGCCCAAGGACCTCCAATGTGCGGGGGAGTTGAAGTCTGAGGGTAGAGCTGAAAAGGACTCCGATGCAGGAGGAAGGACAGTGTCGAATTATTCGGGGGGTTGACAAAGTTAAGTAATTGCTCTTGCAGTTTGAAATTCCCCTCGCCTAGTTCAATTGAAGGAGGGGACGACGTCGGGTGGACGAGGTCACTCGGGTGGACAAACAACGTTGTTGGTGCCTAAGGCCATTTAGGCTAATTGGCCATCACGCTAAAATCTACAATGTTCAAAAAGCTACGGAGTATAGTGTTTAAATAATGAAAAGTCAGTATACTTAAAAGTAGCAGCTACTAGTTTTATTCTATACGTATGTAGCGTTGCATTAAGCCAGATATTTGGCGATGTATGTTCATTAAAAGTAAAAGCCGTCTTCCAACTATCCCCAGGCTTTCACAAATGCTAAAACGAAAAGTCTCTCGAGAAAGGATGAAAACAGGGGATTCTAAGTAGCCAGTAACACCTTGCCAAAATAACCCAATAGGTATCACAAAATAATAGAAAGGTAATGATAACCTCTCCTGATATAAACACCAGCGCGCAATGTTGAAAAAGGACCCGTGAATGGAATTACATACAGGTCATTCCTCCTAGCCAGTTCTTGGGCGCTTGACCCAATCCATCACTAGCGCTTCAGTCCATATCCATGTCCACATCAGCACCCTCCTGATTGGATCCAGGACTATTGCTCTCGCTCGGGCTGTCTCCCGAGATTATTTGATTAAACGCCTGGCGACGCAGGAGATCTTCATGGGCCTGCGCAGTCTCATTGGCACGAGGTGCAAGTGCTTGACGGGATGGTCGGAAAGCCGATGATGGCTGAGGTTTTGGATGGAAGAATCGGTGTAATGTTTGCTGTCGGGGGTCAAGGACTTCTGGTGTTTCGGGTGTTGGCTCTGAGTCCATTGTATCCATATCGGTGGCCTGTGTAGACTCCTGCTGCTTTTGGGCGGAGAAGATCCATCGTAGTGTGTTTTCTGCCAGCTGTCAGCGATTGAACGTTGACGCGATCAAGGGAGAGTACTCCGGGGGGAGGTATTTACGATAAATCACTTGGTCACTAGGACGATCGTCTCTGAAGCGTTTTCGCGTCCGACTGTGGAGATGTGGACTCCCATCAATCACCATGCCCCATTCACTAGGGGCTGGGGCTGACGGACTGGTCGGGAGAGCTATGAACGAGGCTTTCCGCTTGAGGGACATTTCCGGAGCTTGGTGTATATAGTAAGGTGGACCGTAGGGGGTTTGTAGAGGTGATTGCGTATAGAAAGTCTTACATGGGAGGTAATGAAAGAGAAGAGAAGAGGAATTGAGACGAGGACTGGACGCAAACACAACTAACTCGGCGCGTCATTCGCGGGATTCGCGTTGCATTCTGTCAGGCTAAGCCAAAACGGGTAATATAGGTAGCAGGTTGGATGCTCATAACAACATTGGCAACATTGACAACATGCTTTGATATTTGTAAAGAAACAGACTATTTTTACTCTTAATAGATATCGCCAACCTAGAGATATCAATGCCATTACTTCATCATGCTATGCGTAGTCGCACTCATTCTGTCGGTATCCAGGACTACAAGCATAACATATGTATCCAAGGATATACAACGAACTTTTGATAACACTTTCTTTTACAATTTCTATTTATTCAGCTATTCGACCCGTAACTTGGTTTGCCAGTGCATATCTTGGTATAGGTACATATCTAAATGATACTCAAATATAAATTCATATGAGTTGACTAAAATGACCAAAACTGCCTATCAAATACATGATCACTACAAATCTTCTCTATATCTCCCAATATAAAATCCAATATCAATATCTTATCCTCCAATATCCCGATGTCTTCCAATGACGCGCTGGCTGTTCCGTAGGATCCCCCGCTCCCCCCACTTCTTCAATTGAAGAGTAGAGCACCACTTCACATTCAACCTTGACCTTGACCCATTAACACAAATCATACCATGCCATCTCGACACGCCTCTCACTCTGGATCATGGTACTCAGATAGTGCCCGCACCCTAGCCCGTCAGCTGGATGGCTGGCTGGCGCAGGTGCCAGACACGATGGAGAAAGTCGGCTCACTGCCAGCCCCAGGAGCCAGAGTGATCATCGCACCGTATGTCTAGGACCTTTACCATAAATTTGGTATCATGCAGAACAAACATACTAATCAACCAGGCATGCGGGCTATTCGTACTCGGGGCCCTGCGCAGCCTACGCATACAAGGCGCTGGATCTCTCCAAAGCGTGAGCTTATCTCCCTCTTCTTCTATGAAAGTATCTAACCTCACAATAGGAAGCGAATATTTATTCTGGGACCGTCACACCATGTTTCGCTCGCAACACTGGCTCTCCCGACGCTAACTTCCTACCGTACCCCTCTATCCGATGAACCCCTCCCACTAGACACCGAGCTGATTACCCAGCTTCTCGAAACCCAGGCAACCAGACCAAATGGGGCGAAGATTAGCTTCACAACCATGTCGCGCTCGGTCGATGAAGACGAGCACAGCATCGAGATGCATCTACCCTACATCCACCGCTTGCTCCAGCTTCAATATCCAGATTTTCCAGCCTCGGAATACCCACCTCTAGTCCCAATCATGGTCGGAAATACCTCGGCCGCGACAGAGCAAGCATTCGGAGCCCTTCTAGCCCCTTACCTGGCGGACCCAGCAAATGCTTTTGTGATAAGTTCGGATTTCTGCCACTGGGGTCTCCGATTCCGCTATACATACTATGTTCCACAGGCCCCCAAGCCAGGGCCACAACTCCCATTGTCGGATGATATACTTCCGCAACCTGGCATGGATGCAAGCAGCGTCGATCAGGCCGTCAAGATGGCCTCAGCCGGTCACTCCTTGCGCCAACGCGATCGCCTCTCAAGCAGTCAACCGGCTATTCACGAGAGTATCTCAGCGTTTGACATGGCTACTATGGCTGCCATCACGACGGGATCTGCAAAGTCTTTCCTCGACATTATTGAACGCACGGGTAACACAGTATGCGGGCGCCATCCGATCGGGGTAATCATGGCAGCCCTGGAAATCGTGACGGCAAGTCAAGCAGCCGAGCAGGAAGGACGCTTCTACTTCCTGCGATACGAGCGTAGCTCGGATGTAGAAGATATTGATGATAGCTCGGTGAGCTATGTCTCGGCATTTGCTGTGCTTTAAGATAGTGCATCACATGGCCTTGATGGCGGGGCTTGTCTCCTTGCTTTTAGTTCGGATGATGGGCATTAGCGCTAGCGCCAAAGTAGGATTGCAATCAATGACTTATGAGTATCCGAGTATCCGAAACAGAAATTACATGGGTTTGACTTGTCCAATATAACATCAAGATCGCGTGTTTACCCGGAGCCGTGAATGTGATGGACTGTAGCATTCAACTAAATCACCACTTTCAATACATGACAGGCTCTTCGCAGCAGGAATCAATCGGCTTTATATTCCTGGCTTCCACATATTGCCATAAGCTGACACTCAGTAGTATCACATCGACAAACGAGGTCCTCATCTATCGTGGGATAGAGCGGATAACCCCGAGGATTCCGGCTTTGTACTCAGCAGATTAGAAGATCAGATCCTGTATTGATAATGAAGGGTCGCGACAAACGCCTCTTGAATTTTAGGCCAGGGTCTGAAACATATTAAGGCTGAGCACCCCACTGTCGATGGCTACACTTGTGGATACACACCGTGCACCTAGTGCGTTGTGAATGGATCCCTGATCTCTTATACTGTATAAGAAGTTTCAGAATGAGATCTATCAAATGCCTCATTACCCTAATCAAGGAATTCACCGTTATCAAGGGGGTCAACCTGGAACACCCAAGTCCCTGAAATTAGCCGCTGGGCTGTTGGAGGCGTTATTCGGCCAATCCGACAGCCCTAAAGTCAGATAACTCTGCCCCTGAGTCCGTTCCAGTTCGACTAATCAGATCGCAGAAAAGCTTCTTTCGGTTTGTTTGTCCAGTGGGAATCTACGGGTTAGGGCACCCCCGCCTGGCAAGGTGGCACTATGGCAGTCGGGGCGCCAGCAGGATTGATTTTTTCCCCTTGAAGGCAGCAGCCCACTTTAGGGCTTCTTGTCTAATTCATCTATTGTCCGCATATTCCGTACAAGGAGTGGATCTTATAGAGAATGTGGCATTGTGAAACAAAGCGCCAAAAGCATATAAGATTTCTTTTAAGTCAAGTCCTATGTCCGACCTTTGATATGTTTCTTTTCTCACTTCTCACTCCAGTCGCTCCTTAAGCTGGATACGTCTTTCATTCCTTTTTATCTTTCACGTATTCCAGCTTCATAGAGTGGAGATATTCCTTGGCTGGTTCTTGGAAATCTTCACCGCTTAAAAAGCCATGTTCTTCTTATTCGTGGCCCTGGTTGGCCTCTTGCCCTTCTTTACATTCGCTTCCCCGATTGCAGTCAACATTACCAACATGACGTCTTCCGATCAAAACATAGGAAATAAATTAGTCTTCTGTCATTTTATGGTAGGTTATTTATTGCACTGTTAAAACCCGAATAAAATACTAACGCTATCTAGATGGGCATCGTCGGCAACCGCGAAGGCGCCAGTGACTATGACGATGATATGAAGCGTGCCAAAGACGCAGGTATCGATGCCTTTGCGTTGAATATTGGCACCGACTCTTACGGCGACACCCAGCTGGACTATGCCTATGAATCTGCCGCCAACAACGGCATGAAAGTGTTTATCTCCTTCGACTTTAACTGGTGGCAGACCAGCCAGGGAAGCGAAGTCGGCGCGAAGATCGCGCAGTATGCCGCTCATCCCGGGCAGCTCTTGGTTGACGGGAAAGTCTTTGTATCGTCGTTTATCGGCGACGGTGTCGATATCGACGCAATCAGATCCGCTGCTGGCAGCGATATCTTCTTTGCGCCGAATTACCACCCAGGTCAGGGCGACTTCGATAATATCGACGGCGCCCTGAACTGGATGGGCTGGGATAGTGATGGAAATAACAAGGCTCCGACTGCTGGGCAGAATGTCACTGTTGCGGATGGCGATAAGGCTTATGCGGATGCTCTTCAAGGGAAACCATACATTGCGCGTGAGTATGGGTATGTTGGTTCTTCTGTGCATATTCGCTAATTGATAAATAGCCATCTCGCCTTGGTTCTCGACCCATTACGGTACCGAGGTCTCTTATAGCAAGAACTGGGTGTTCCCTTCCGATCTCCTCTGGTATGACCGGTGGAGAGAGATCCTACGTCTCAGCCCTCGCTTTGTGGAGATCCTCACCTGGAATGACTACGGTGAATCGCATTATATCGGCCCGCTGTCGTCGCCGCACACAGACGACGGTGCTTCGAAGTGGGTGATGGACATGTAAGTAGAGATATCCCGGTAAATTAACAAACCAACTGACAAGGAAACAGGCCCCACAATGGCTGGCTCGACATGGCAAAGCCCTTCATCGCCGCCTACAAAGCCGGCTCGAGACTGCCTATCAGATTCCTAGAGGAAGAAAAGCTGGTTTACTGGTACCGGCCCACTTTGAAAGACGTCGACTGCGACGCAACCGACAACACAATGCAAGGCAGCGCCAACAACGCCAGCGGCAACTTCTTCCGCGGCCGGCCCGACGGCGCCGACACAATGAAAGATGAGGTGTTCATCGTCACGATGCTGAAGTTTCCGGCGAAGGTGCGGGTGCGGTCAGGCAATAATACTGAGACCTACATCGCGCCTCCGGGAGTCTGGTCACACTCGGTGCCGATGGGCGTGGGCGCGCAGAGTTTCAAAGTCACCCGTGGCTTCCAGACAGTTCAGGCTTTGTCGGGGACGAGTTTGAAGGATGTTGTCGACACGTGTGTCTGCGGCATCTACAACTTCAATGCTTATGTGGGCACTCTGCCGGCAGAGGACACCGTTGATAAGCTGCAGCCGGCTGGGTTGACTATGTTGATGGACGGGTTGAAGGTGACGCCCGAGATTAATTCTCTGGGTTAATACTTTGGTTGGGCCGTTGGTTTCCTTATGATTGGGTATAAGACCTATGTACAGACTAGTCCGCTCACTTGATCGGAGGTGAGGGTTATATGTACAACATCAATAGAATACAACAGCTGGTATAACCAATGTTCGTCCTCATTTGAATGTCGTGTCATTGTTGAACATCTACTTTAGGCCAGATACCGAGTACCGGCTATAATTCAGCGAACTCCGGAGTGTTATTTGATGCAGACATTGCTAGAGACAATTTCGTCATTCTATAAATCGACCTTTCAATGCGAGTTTACTACTGCTGAGTAGAATATCTACATTGTAGTATAACAAGTATAAGTAACGATCTACAAATGTCCGAATTATTTTCTTCCGCATTTCCTTATCTTGTTTAGTCTCAGATCTATCAGATACAACGGACATAAATAATCCATCGCATTCCCCTTTATCTTCACCGACTCTTTGCCCACGTTAGGCACTTGGCGCTGCCCGGAGTGACGGGAAGTGTTGCGCCCGAGTCAGCAGGTGCAGGCCTCGTGTACCTCGTGAAACTATTTAGGAACCCGATCTCGCCGTTGTCTCTTTGTGTTTGGTCTTAAAAGAGTTATCAACAATGGCCCGTATAAAACAGGGAGTCTTCTCCTGGGAGGATGTACTGCTTCAGCGGTTCCAGAGTAAGCAACGAACTCCTATTCCTATTCCTACGCTTTTACATCTGAATCCCCAAATCTAACAGATCTAAAAACAACCAGGCAACAAACCCCCTGCCCTCCCCCGCCGCCAAACAATAGCATTCTCCGCACCCCAACTCCAAAGCCGACTCCTCACCCGGCTATCACCGGAGCTTCGGCTAATGATCTGGGGATTTGTCCTCGCCGGCCAACGAATCCACATAGTCCAATGCAGCAAGCAGCGACTCGGGCACGTGGTGTGTCCCTGTGCGCTCGAGCCCAGATCTTCACCACCGAAACGCCACACGCGCCAGAACAGAAACTTATTCTGCGAGATCTGCCATGGCACGGGCATCTCCCAGCCGGCGAAAGAGGCCGATCTCGTGCGCTGGGATAAGGTTAAGCTACTGGGTCTGGCCTTGACTTGTCGGCAGATGTACGGTTGAGATATTACCCTTCCTTCCTTCCTTTCCTTTCCTTCCTTTCCTTATCCTACCTACCTTACCCTACCCTCCCCTACACCTATATGATGTATCCATGACTCCATCTCACCCAGAGAAAGAGCTGCATATCCTATACAAACTACCCCACTCCCAATACTAATCCAAAAACCAGATACCACGAATCCATCCCCCTCCTTTACACCCTCCCAACCCTAGAATTCAGTAACCCCTGGACCCTCCCATACCTCCTCCCCACGATCCCGCCCGAACACCGCGAACGCATCCGCGCCATCGAGCTCCGCTGGTCTTTCCCGGGCCACTGGCTCCCGAGCAAGGACTCCGTGCGCGCGGTCTACGTGTCCGCCGGACGGACGCAGTGGACGGAGACGTGTCGGGCGGTCTCGCAGCTGGAATCGCTGCGGTCGTTCGTGCTCGTGCTGGAGAGTAACTGGTTCAGCGAGCCGGTCGAGAAACTGGCTGCGTTTTTGGAGCCGCTGAGCGGGGTGGTTGTTCGGTCGAGGGCTGTTTCGAGGCGGAGTTGGGATTGGGGGTGTATTGGGAGGGATGGGGGGGATGTGGATAGAGATGTGCATATGGATCGAGATGTGGATAGGGATCTTGATAGGGTTGGGGCTCGGTTTGCGGTGAAGGATGGCTTCGGTGATGGGTTCAGTTCGGACGAGGACTCTTGTAAGAGTCTCGGATCGGATTCTAGCTCGTTTTCTTCTGGGACTGGGGATTCGACGGTTTCTACGGGGAGCTGGGAGCTCCGGCTTCAGGGTCAGTGTTATTATACGCATGAACTGGATCGCGTAGGGGTGGATCTTCGGCGGAGAGGTGTAGATTGCTGGATATCGGCGGTGTGAGAATGCTCGATTTGCAAATGGCGTGATTAATGTTTTATGATGCAATGATCGTCTGTTATCTAGACGATGTCTTCTTGTTTTTGGCACATTGCATGTCTCGGCATCACTTCGGAGTATGTTCGAGACACCGTTGCAGATCTACATATTATAATCGGAGTATCATCGATGCATACTCGGCATTTCTGAACGTTATTGGTAATGAATACATCCTTTAGCTCAACATACAACATAATACATACGTAACAAATGCTACCATGTTGCTGTTTACATAGTAGAATTCAATTCTCGGCTTTCTGATCTTCCCCTATACTCTACCGCATGGAGATTCAAGTGAGACCCTGGACCCACCGAGAGGAGTCGGCTTATAAATACATCCAATAAACAAAACACGTGTTTCACCTTATAAGAATGGCGTGAAATCAAGATGGTATCTAGTTGGATTGCTCCATTCCAGGTACAAGTATGTATTTGTGTTCATTTCATTACAGACCCTACGGTGAACAGAATTATGCGTGATCATGATGATATGATGTCGCCAGGGGCAAAAATCGAACTTGTCTCCACCAGGGACGCTAGGCGCGGGGAAAATCGCATCATAATCAAACTATGTACGTAGTCTCGTATTTATGGTGGGATACACTGAGAGAATAAAATGCTGGTATTGAATGGTGCAAGCCCATATAGAGTAAAGGAAATCGACCCTTGAAAAAGGTGGTCAGGTATATAAGAAAGAAGATTGAACCGGCGATCCTGCCAGGACATGCAAAAGTAAAGACAAAATGGCCGCATCCGTGACTCGTGATGTGTCGTCGGGCAGTTTACAAAGATATTAGAAATAAAAAAGGAGAAAAGAGAAAAGAGAAGGATAGGAAGATATCGTCGTCACCATGGGCGCCGTGCAAAATCTATGAAGTGAAAAACCCGGTTGCGACCCATATTAAGTGCAAAATGGTCGGGAAAGATCAGACTCCGGATGTAATATCTCAGAGAGAAAGGAAATGGAAAATCGCGTAGATAAACGTCGTGATTCGGGCGTAGGAGGGAAATTGTATGATCAATGATCAGGAGGACAATTGGTCAACATCGCCAGCCATTGTGGACGGACAGGCCCGGGAGCCTGCTCGTTAAGTCTGCGGTCGCATATGCTTGAATCTTTGTCAAGATAGCATGGTCGTTCTTCTGATGCTGACGCCCAAAAGGAATGCCAGCGCGACCGCAGTGGCTTGGGTCAATAGTCGGAACTAATGCTGCCTAGGGTTCATCGAATGTCGCTGCGCCCGGCCAGTCCTCCGATGCGAGATAGGAGGCTGTGGAATATTGAATATCCAGGTCGCACAATCGTTCGATGAGTGGTGTGGCTGATATGAAATTTCAGAAGCCGAGGGGTTGTTGTGATGCCGGGTTGCCAGTAGTGATTTTACCGTCCTTCATGGGAACGGTCGGGTCCCGAGTTACCATGGCCTCGTGCGGCGAGCCACTCGGTCGAGGCCTCCTGGCGAGCACCTGGGTGTTTCTGGTCCTCGCGGCGACTGGTGAGGCCCTGAGGGAGCATGTTGTTAATCTCTGCTGCCAGCGCAGATGCCATGTAACACCGGAGTTCCTTCTCTTCACGCTCATCCTCTTTGATCAGGCGGCGTTGGTCGGTCTTGGACATATTTTCGCGACGCTTGCGTCGGATCTCATGGATTGACCACAGAACGACCTCTTCGGGAGCGCGATTGCGAGGGCTTCCGTGGCGGGAGAAATTGCGAACGTAGCGGCGGGTGACATCGGTCGCACCGTCGATGGAGAAAGCCACACAGTAAGAGATCTTGCGTTGCCATCCTTCGGTGTATAGGCGAGGCTGGTCCCAGGCGCCCTCGCAGGCATCGACGTGAACCCATCGCCGTTGGTGTTCCGAGTACACTTCGGTCCAGACGTAGTCCTCGGAATTCCAAACCCAACGGACTCGGGCTCCGACTGCGCGGCAGAACATGCTAAAGCAGTTGGCCCATTCGCCAACTCGGCCTCGTCGAGATTGCAGTAATTGCCACACATCGGAATACCGTGGGAATCGCTCGTTGGCGGTGCAGCTAGTATCGGAACAACGGTACAGCTCGACTCGGGTTGCGCCCCGGGCGGTCTCGTCGGGAGTGGGAGGAGTCATGCCTTGGGCTATCGTAGGCATGTGACATTTCGAGCACGGAGGGTTATTCACAAATTGGAAGAATGACCCCTTGAACCATCTAGAAGATAGATATGTTAGCAAGGGCGCAATGGCTCTAGAGCATAGGGAATCCACATACCTTAACAATGCTCGGATGACACAATCTTGGTAGCCCCATTCCGGTTTCCCTGCCACGCTGGCAGCCTGGGCCTGCATAATTTGAGATTCCTCCTCGGCCTCGGAATACAGGCGATCGAGCGGAATCACGGACAGGGCCTCATCCAATAGACCCGGATTTTCGTACTTGGTCGGTGTCACGGATAGCCCCTTCAATAAATTATAAAATTTAAGTGAAGCCGCATCTTGGGGCGGTGATGGCATGATAGGAAGACCGCGTAGTGCTGATGAGGTCGTCGGCTTTGGAGAGGGGGCGGCGGTAGGACTCCCTAGCGAGGGAGGTGGTGGCGGAGCCCGCGTTGGCGGCGGAGGAATTGATGAATTGGACATTGGAGATGGTGATGCTGAGTGAGTACGCGAGCGAGAGGGTTCATGAAGTCGGTTAAGTCGTTTGGTGCGCATTAGCTGCTCGAATTCGTGTGTTAAAGAGGCGGCGTCGTAGCCATTCGAGACAGGCTGGGTAGCCCGGTGTCTGCCGTCCGCCATAGTCGATGAGGAAGTCACGGCAGACTTCCAAGACGATGGCTGTTGAGATCCAGAATTCCTCGGAATTGGCGAACAATTCGAGTTTGGGCGAAAGAGATCCAATTTGACCCTAGGTTCGGGGGAGGGAAGAGGAAGTGTAAAAAGGGATGTCGGAGACGAGTAGTAAAGAAGGGACTACCTCGCTCGAGTTGACGTAGCACACTTGAAGATCAGGGAA